ATAAAATAATACATACGTACAGTACATTAATAAATTTTCTTGATGCTACAAGTAATTTACTCATTACGTGATACCATTGCCGGTAATAAAATTCTTTCGATATTTCGAAATATTTTGAAATAAATCGCATAATACTCCGTAATAAATTACGTAATACTCTGTAATAAATTGCGTAATACTCCATAATAAATTGCGTAATACTCCGTAATAAATTGCATAATATTACGTAATAAATTGCGCAATATTATGTCCAGACAGTAATTCTTGCGCAATATTACGGGCCGTAATATCTTACGTAAGATTACGTTTATATAATTTGCTGATGTCCCTGCTTGAAAGAAGAGAAAAATTGGTAAAAAAGTGCATAATTTATGCATGAATATATCTAAAAATCAGCTAAATTGAAAACGAAGCAATTATAATATCTATAAATATTTGTGATGGGATTATAGCTTTTATGATTATGCAATTTTTTAAGGGCATTGGAATATCTAATTCATTTTTTAAATGATTTTAATAAATTGTTATTCCATACATTTTAAATAATTACAAATTGATTATAATACATAAATTTATTAAATGTTTTTTACAGTATATAAAATTCAAAGAATTCTTATGGTAATAATATATAATACTGTATTGGTATAATCTGTAATAATTTGCTATAAAGAGTGAGAGATACAGGGACATGGCGATATGAATTTGTAAATTATGCGTGCCGTATATTAAAATATTCGATTTACTGATAATTAAAAATTAAAAGTGCGATTCAATAATGTTATTCAATTTTATCTTGTAAAAAAAAAACTTCAATTCTTCAAATACTGTGCACAACTAACGATTTTTTTAAGCTGCACCTAATTTAAATACTGTGCTCAAAGCCAAAAATAAATTTTTAAAAACTGTGCCTAATTTAAATACTGCGTTCAACTAAACAAAAAAAATTACTAATTTATTTATTATTGAGACTATTAACAAATGATTTTGCACTTTAACATACTATAAATTATTTCTGCTACTAAAAATTAAATTAATTATTTTGTTAATGTACCAGTACTGTTAAAAATTAGATTATATAAACAATTGGTAGAATTAATTCACTTTTTTTTTCTTTTTAAATTTTGTTATATTTAATTCATTTTTTATTTTACAATTAGAGAATTTAAATATTCAAACTAAAATAAATAAATACAATTAAGTTATTAGTATAGTAATAATCTGGAAATTTTGTATAAAACTGTTGGTAATTTAATAACACACCAATAACTTTATAGTATTTTCAATATATTTTCACTCTTTAACATAATACTAAAAATCAAATATTTCGCACTTTAACATACTATTAAAGATTGATTTATTTGCATTATTCAACTCAATTATTAATCAGTTTTTATACTACATAGGTCAACTTTATTGTAAGTTTCTGCTAATGTAATATTCGATATCGTGATCATAAAACAAATATGATTGGCTACTAGGAATAGCGTCAGGTTAATTGATGGTCTATGATCGGCAACTTGCATAACCTAGCACACATTTCATACGTGCCAAAATTATTGTTATGATCGGATATAAAAATATCTGTAAAACTGATAACGGATAATCCGAATCCGACATTATCAGATTCGGATATATCTGTTTAAATAATATCTGCATCAAATCCGGATATAGTTATCCGGATCGCTACTCTACCTTTCCGATTTACCTTATAGACTAAAAACTTGATTTTATGGAAGAAAAGGTGATATTTTTCCCGGTTTTGCTTTTCTTAAGGTGGCGAAAATGACTTTTAGATGTTGGACATGTTCTTCAAATGTCTTAGAATAGACAGTTATATCATTCAGGTATGCAACTAAAAACTTTTCTTTATAATCACTTAGCACCTCATCCATGAGTCTCTGAAAAGTTGCGAGACATTATATAAACCAAACGGCATCATGTTGAATTTGTAGGTGCTGAATTTGGTTATAAATACAGTCCTCTTTCCACATAGAGACTTGCCAGTAGCCACTGGCTAAGTCTAGGCTAGAGAACTATTGAGCACCTTGGAATGACTCTAAGACTTCCTCAATTAAGGGCAAAGGATAAGTATTCTTTTCAGTTATACTATTCAACTTTCTATAATCAATGCATAATCATTTTTACCGTTCTTCTTAGATACTATAACTATAGATAAAGACCAAGGGCTACCTTTACACTTTTTGACAACAGCTTTTTCTTCCATGGTTGTAATTTCTTTAATAAGAAACTCTTGCTCATCCTTGGAGGTACAGTAATATGTTTGTTTAATAAATTTGGCTGTACCTGTGTGAATTTCATGTTGAGTTAAATTAGTATAGCCTAACTCTAGGGTTTGGCCTTTTTCAGCTATATTTTCTGCAAATATTCCCTTGTTAACATCTAATAAAGTTTTTACTACTACTTTTTCTCCTTTATTTAATTGACCTACACTATTTCCTGTACTCATACCTATAGGATCTACTTCAGTTAAGTATATGGCAGGATTGTCATTTATATTTACTATTTCTTCCGCTATATTCTCTAACTCAAACTCTTCTGAATAATAGGTCTTGTACTTATCTAACTCCTCTTTATCAAACAAGTTCCTCTATCAAGTCATCTAGGCTATCTAACTTTTTACTATCGGTTACTAAAGGTTGGTTGTCTAGGTGAGTAGTTGGTACAACAGTTTCCTGCCTACCATATTTTACCCTTAGGGTTCTGGTATTAAAGTCCCATTGGGCTTGTACTTTTTTGAACCAATCTGTGCCTAAAAGGAGGGTCTCGTCTGGAGACTCGATGACCTGGAGTTGGATAGATATAAACATGTCTTGTACGGCTAACTTAGCATCGTTAATTTGGCCTAATGCTCTTTTTTTCTGCCTATTTGCTGTAACCACAATGACCCTAAATGGAGTATTTATAACTAGCCTTAATTTTCTTCTTAGCCTATTAGTAATTATATTGATGGCTGCCCCTGAGTTAAGAATGGTGACAACTAGGTTTTCGTGTACCCTAACATGATATTTCGCAGTGGTAGTCTTACATAAACTCATATTATCTATATTAGTAATGTGGTTCACAATCGTGAGTTCAGTAAAATAAGGGTTACGGCGTAATAACTTGGCAAAATTTCTTCTTTGGTTAGAGTACTGTAATATTTGGCCAAGAGTGGCACTAGACGAAAGTCTTAAGATATTTTCGGAGATATCATAGAGTTTGATTCGATTGATTACTAAGAGTTGTCTCTTTGTTTTTAATTTCTTTATGAAAGGGACTGGCTCAATAACTTCTTTGTCCACTTGCATAGGGTTGAGTCTAACATGTTTCCTCAAGTTATACTCTCCTTGGGGCTCTAATCTTTTTTTCTTTATAGGCTTTAGAGTCCATAGTTCCACTATACACATGCTTCTCATTATATAAATATTCATTACTATCATTAACCCAAGCCATATTAACTCTTCTATCCTCATATCTAGTAAGTTTACTACACTCACCTCTGTTGCGATATTTGGTCAAGCAGTTACATGCTAAGTGACTGCATTCTCTATATATATAGCATCAGCGAGTTTCAGAGCTTTCGGTATATAGATTATACCTAGATGAGTAGGTATACTTAGTGCCTTTTTTCAGAGATGCTAGTGCAGAGGTAAAAGAAGTGTAGTTTAACGACATTTGCTGCATTTTCTGTGCTAGTAGATCCACATCATCTTCTAACTTTCTTTCGGGGTTTTTTCTTTATCTACTGTAGTTTGCTTCTTATATAGAACTTTTTAGCTTCTACTTGCTCAGCGACTTCAATAGCTTTTTCTAGGGTCTGTGGGTCCTTCATAGCAGTATATATGGCAACTTCTTGCCTTAAGCCTGATAAAAATAGACAGACAACATAGTTGTCTAGTAGCTTATTTCCGGGATCAACCTTTTTCTTCAATCACTTGAACTTAGCTATGTATTCAGGAACATGTTCTATTTGATCTTGTTTAATATTATGTAGCTCATTATGCTATTTATTTTTCTGTCTAGGGTTCCGAAACGCCTATTAAACAAGGGTACGAAGGAGGTATCTTTGGCATCATACCAGCTAGTAATCTTACTTTTAACATCATCATACCAAAATAATGCATTTCCAAACAGGTAACCAGAGGTGATTTCAATTTTTCGATTATTCTTCCAATTATTAGCTAATGCTGCTTTTTCAAACATAGCTACCTATTCAATAAGGTCTTCATCATCCATACCATGAAATTGGTCGACTTTAACAATATTTACACCACCGGGTGTTTCTCATTTAAATTCATTAGCTACTTCCTTGAAACCATCTGCAACTTGCTTAAGGAGTTGGTGAGGTTGGGTAGAGTCCATAATCGATTTTTTAGATACATATTGTTATAATTATAATGTTCAATAATTATCTAGCCTAATCTAATACTAATATGTTTATTCTTAAAAATTCACAGAATTTTAATACTACGGCTTATACAGAGCAATTCTTCTAAACTCACACAAAGCTTTACTAATTCAACATCAATTCTCATTATGAATCTCACAGTTCGCCACCAATTGTTAACCTGCATGTTACTTCTCAAAACAAGGTTAACAGTTCAACTAATAACAGAGAGTCACGTGAACACAGGAACACAAAAACTGTGTAATGGTTTGTTAAAGTTGTAAGTATGTAATTTAACGAGAGGGTTTAGTATAATTATGTGATTTAGCAGTATGGAAGAATGCATGATATAGAGTAGAATTGAAATAGAGTGTCCTTTATTAAAATATGGTTTATTTATCAAATGCTATGGCAAGCATGCCTACAAAGTGGAGCGAAACTCACCCATTTATATAATAAAACTATACTATCAATTACATATGACATAGAGTTGGGTAACGAAACCCGAAACTATATATAAAATCCCGAAACCCTTTCCGAAACCCCGAAACCTTTTCCGAAACTTTATACTATACTAAAAGGGTTAGAATTTTAATTTTAGACTTTAAGACATAAAGTACATAATAATTAGATTGCATTTCAGAAATATTTTGGTTACTTTATAGTAAATGTGCATTAATTATTAACATTCTAATTTTAAGGTTTCGGAGAGGTTTCAGGTTTCGGTGCCCAACTCTAATATGACACTTGTACTATTAATGTCCCAACCATTATAAATATCCTAAATACTTTTAATACTATTAGTACTTCCTATATCCCTTGATGCACTTAATTTCCTTGCGCCATAACCGGGTCATACGGCACAATAGGCACATGTGGCACATTCGGTACATTCGGCGCAGTAACCCGTGATTCTTAAACTCGTGACATAACAGTTTAGTCCGGGGTTAGATCAGCAAGGGTAACAACGTATACGTTTGTAAAACATGCCCAAAAAAAGGTATAGTTTCTTAAAACAGTAATTTCATATAATTATTATTTTTTTTTTCTCAAAATTTTATTGACTACTTATGGTAAGCGCCATATGGGGCCCCTACAGCAAAAGGTGGGGATGGGCCAAAAAAAATTTCAAATATCTTGGACAGTCGATCATATGGGGCGTTACATATTAAAACACCCAAATCTGTTATTCATACCCCGTATATCAAAATTTTTTAAATAACCACTAAGTTAATTTTAATGAAATTTTTTTTTTTTATTTGAACTCTACGAATTTGTAGAATTCAAATAAAAAAAAAAGTTCATTGAATTAGTTGTCGGGATACCTTCACTCAAAGTTTTAAAAATTCAAAACAATTATCAAAAAGAACTGCGCCTAACTTTTTCTTAAACTTTGAGCGAAGATATCTCGACAACCACCAAGCCAAATTCATGAACTTTTTTTTATTTGACTTCTAATATTCGTAGAATTTAAATAAAAAAAAGTTCATTGAATTTGGCTTGGTGGGTGTCGAGATATCTTCGTTTTTATTTGAATTCTAAAAAAAGATCATTAAAATTAACTTAGTGGTTGTCAATATAACATCGCAAAAAATTTTGATATACAGCGGGGTATGAATAACAAGAACCAATTGTATAGTAGCTGAAGTAAAAAATTTTATATGTATTATTATATGTAGTCAAAATAATTTACATGCTGTTTTTAATATGTAACACCCATATGATAAACCTCCAACGAACGATAATTTACCAGAAGCAACGTCAGAAAGCATTTCTTTAAAGTTTACAATTTATTATTTGCTATTTGCAATATATATAAACAACTTTTGTAATGATCAAAACTTATGAATTATTATTGTTATAAGAAATCGATCAGCCGATTTTGAAAAAAATTAACCGCTAAGACCAAAATTAGCTTTACCAGTTTTATTATTATTAGCCAGGATCACTACTTTCTAGCACGTTTAGCATCTCGTGGTGTAGTAGTTAAAGTTATCCGTTCTCTCTTAGCCTGAAATAACATAACATTAATAACCGGTTTCTAAAATTTTTACAACTTTAAAGAAAACTTACCGGAACAACATTACTCTCGTCACCACCGCCATCACCAGTAACACTAGCTGTAACATCCGATTGTTTTCCTCCAGCGTCACCACCATTCGCTGATTTGGAAGCACTTCCTAACCCATTTTGCTTTATCTTTTGGAGTAATGCTTTTTTGGCTTTTAATTCGTGATCAGCTTTTTCAACCGCTTTCTTAACATCCAATAGTGTTTGAATAGCTTTTTGTAAATCAACCCACCGTGCACACACTGTTTCGGTAGGAATTGATGGTCGAGGACCTATTAATATATTCAGATTACGTTATTAATTTATATAGAAATAAACTTGCACTTATGAAAGAAGAATTAGAGACAATGATTGCACTAAGTTCTATAAAAGATAAACGACCAAATATATATACACATATTATGTATATATGTCGTAACGTGAAATCATTGTTCACGTACCACATATATAATTTATCATATCAATACCTAATCCAAATTCTTGTAATGTCTTTTGTACTTTGAGTATCATTGTTTGCTTAGGTAATGGGATCTTGCTACTTCTTACTACTACTCCTTGCGGGAATTTCTCCTTCCTAGCCGTTATTGGGGTATTATGAACTTCTGCTGGAGATTGAGCAACTGTTTATTAAAAAAGTTATTGTATGAAAGCTACAAATAAAAGGATGTAATGTATAAAGATGCAGACATAGGGCATGAAATAATATATGGCATAGCCAAAACTGGGGTAGATACCCAAATTTTAGACATAAGAGTAACCGCCATTGAAATGTCCACACCTCTAGTAATGAGTAAGAAATGAAATTTATTGCTATTAATTACCTTCTATAACAGCTGAACCAACAGATGAAGACGATGTACGACGATTTTTTTTTGGCACTTCGGTGGATGTATGAAAGCTTGAATTTCCCACTTCCATTGTTGGTGTTGTTGGTCCACTGAGAAGGGACTTCTTTCGCTTAGGCTAATGTATTTAATATTTAGTGATTATATAAAGTTGTTACGAAGAGAATCTATGCGGATTCACCTGAGAAAGTTCTTGAAAACTAAGTAATTTCAATAGATTTTCTCGTTCTCTGGCAAATTTTTTTTCATTTTGTTCAATTCGTTCATATTCTTCCAGCAAAGCTTCCTCTTCCTGCATAAAAAGACAGTGTTTAACGAATACAATTCTATTCAGTATAATATTGATGAATGCTGACCTTAATTTCCTCAGGACTCCGAAGATACAATGCACACATGTGTTTTTTCCTTTTTTCCTCTTTGGCTATTTTAATATATTCGGAAAAAATTTACATTTAATTTAATTAGTAATCAGGAATGAAAAATTACATAATATTAGGAATAAATAAAAAATTTTACCTTACCTTTGTCATAAGTATTCATTGCGATCAAAGCACCTTTATCACTACCCTCAGGGGGACGAACTTGTAGAAGTTTTTTACATACCGAATAATATCGGTCTTTCAAATCCTAGCCAAAGAATAATATAGATTCGATAAATAATCTTTTGCCCGAAATCATGATAAAAAAAAAAAAAAAAACATCCATTTACTTCAATAGATCGCTCCTTATATTCGTAACGATCATGAATAACTATGAAACGAAGATCGTATTTGTCACACAGTTTAAATAAGTAATCTGTCTCCTCTTTAGTCCAATCTTTATCTAGAAATTTTGTATGTGTCGTTTTATAAATAATACTATCATGAATAAGCCATTGAGAAATAAATTATATGCGAAAATATTTTTGACTAATACCCGTTAAATATTTTTCATAATCTTCATCATCATATTTCAAGATGTCAATTTTCTTGTTATACTCGGCAAACCAATATCCTAAAATAACGTGAATAAGAATTAAAATTAATTAAAATTAACTACTGTTAAAAAAAAAAGATGTATTTACCTGAATCTTCAGATTCAGAAGTAGGTGTGCATTTGACCCAGTGATGTAGTGTTAACTGATCATCCTCACCTCGCCCTTGATTAGTAAAACTTTGCCATTCCCTTTATCAAGTTATGTTACAATTATTAATGAACGGTAATTCGAAACGGATTCTATATCTAAATCTTCTCAATTAAAATCTTATCAATTATATTATAGTCCTATAATTAAAGATGGAAGTTTCAATTACCAATGAACGGCCTTTTTACGCAAATTCGGTTTTGCTTTAAAAGCAGGCTTTACAAAAGCTATTGGAGGTGGACCACCTATTAGCTGAAAAAGCTCTCGAGGTATTCCATCTATTTAAAAACAAAATATATGCATATAATATAACTAAAAATATTTAAGATTCAAGCTGAATTAAAATAATTTTTAATGACGAGCTACAGTACAAACTAAATAGTAATTTTCTGAAGCTTGACATTAATTTCAAAATTCGATATCAAACTAAAAATTTCGGTTAATAGAATACTAACCAGGCTTCTTTTCTTTTTCTGACTTGTTTGTTTTTTTACTCGGTGCAGAAATGTCTGTTGAATTTGAAGGTTTTGAGTGAAGTTCAAGGATGTCTCGTACATCGTTGCTGGTCATTGCTGCGATTAAAACAAGTTCTAACTTGGGAAGACATGTCGGCTAGTTAGTTCATATGCAGAAAGTTTATCTGATTGGTTAAAATTTGCAGATCTGCACGTAAAAATTAGCCAATCAAATTACAAGAAAATGATTTATACCTAAAGTAGTATAGTATAAGAGCTATTATACAGTCTAAGTACACCCATAGGAAAAGTGTACACTTAGAGAGGGTGTGCATTTATAGAGAGCAAAATATTAGAGGTCTTATAAGCTGGGACCGGATTATATTACATAATCCGTGCACTTAGAGAGGTCTGACTGACTGTACTTGTGCGTAGTAAAACTATTATACCGATCAGCATATGCAGTATTGTCTCGTCATATAATCATATGACTTTTTGGGTCATAAGTCATATCGGTAGTAAAAAATTTTTTTTTACTATGTTTAAAAGGTTATAAAGTCATATCAACCTTCGTTATGACCAAATGACTTATAACAGGTCATTAGCCAACACTGTCGAAAATTGATTAATCATTTAGTTGATCTAGTTGACAACTAATCAATTGGCTAAAATAGACAAACAACTGTACAGCATGGACTAAAAGAACCCCTTTTATAATAATACCTCTCAAAACTTTTAGAGGTATATTAAATCATTCTAGTTGACTAGTTAACTAATCGATTAGTTAATTTAATAATTAATGTAAATTAATATATATATTAACTGTATAAATAATTATTAATTATACTAAGTCACACCACTGGTGTTCAACACCAGTGTCAGAAAGTGGGTCGGAATTAATTACATTATAATAGTTTATTTGATTAATAAATTACATCATAATTAATTAACATAATAGTTTATTTGATTAATAAATGTGACAAATTAAAATGTAATCAGATTAAAATGAAATTTTTATATTTTTTAAAGATAATTTAAAAAATTTTGAGAGACATTTTTTAGGGTTAGGGTTAGGGTTTAGTGTTAGATTTATTAATAAACAAGTATAAGTGGGTTTTATAAGCTTTAAAAAGGAGCAAGAGAAGTCACCTGTTTTATTTTAATCTGATTTCATTTTAATCTGCAATAATAAATAGTAAATTTTACTTGCACTGTTTATTTTTCTTTCTCTTTTTCATAAATTCTTATTTTTTTTTCTTACAAGTTAAAGTATTTAGTAAGCATATTCAAACAGACAAATAATTATAATACATATGAATATGGTAACCCAGAAAATCTTTTCAACACCAAATGTGGCAACCTGGAGAATTTTTTTGATTTTGAATGTGGCAATTTGGAGAATTTTTTAAATCTGTTCAAGCCTAAAGATACTGGTTTTTTTGATACATACCAATATAATAACTCTGAAAACTTTATTAATACAGAACCTGGAAACCTGAAAAATTTTTGAATCAGAAAATATAAACTGTTTTAATACATTCGAGTTTAATAATCTGGTGAACTTTTTAAATGTACTTGAATTGAATAATCTGAAGAGTTTATTGTTCGAAGCAAAGCGAGGACTTATATGTTTACTCCAAATCATGCAATGTCCATTGACACCACCCAATCAATTTATTATATTAAATTACGCTATATAATTCTGCATATTTCTCAAAATAACATATATGGGATCTTTGCGACTCTATAAGCTATTGTTATACAAGATTTTTATTAAAAAATGTAATAAATCTATTTTTAAAAAAAAATCCTAGCAAAGATTCTATATAATATTATGGAGATTTAATATATTTATATATAAAAATATATGTTTTTTTTAGCCTGTAATATACATACCATATATAAATAACTAATTTACAAAAACTAAAATACTATATAAATAAATTATAATAATAAAATAATAAACAAAATAATGTAAAAAATATTCTCATTCTGATATTTCATCTCCTAAATAGCCATCACGTATCTTATATGAGATCAGTACTCTAGGAAGGATAGCTTCGCTCACTGGTTTCGAACTCGGGTTACTCTGCTACCAGAGTGAATATCCTAACCAGTAGTCTACATCGGAATGATTACCAAATTTCGAAAATTAACTTCTTATAAAGATAATTTGTGTATTTTGATTATTCAATCGTAAAATTTTTCTTCATGTGATCTAAACTTTAAATAGTTTTTCGATTATCTTCATAAAATAATTTTTGATCTAAAATTTTAAAACTAAAAACAAAATTAATAAAACGCTTTTAAAAATGCCTCGTAGCCAGAAAGGAAACAATAATTGATATCCCAATTGTCAAAAGTAAGAATATAATAATTAGATAAATTAATAATAATAACTAATATAATTTCTATATAATAGTAAGAATTTAGACAAAGGTAAACAGAAAGAAGTAGTCGAGGATGTTGAAGATGTTGAAAATGTAAAGAATGTAGAAGAAAACTGGTAACAATAATAAATTTTAAATACTATAATTTAATATAATAAGATACTAAAAATAATTTAATTAAATAGGTGGAGTAGGTGAGTTTTGGATAAAACGGAGAAGAATATGATGTTTTGGTTGGAAGAGAAGAATAGAAGATTGGAGAAGATGTTGGATGAAGTAGTAGAATCGGGAGAATTTAGATTGGAGATATTAAGAGGGATGTTGAAAGATGAACAAAAAAGATATGAGATGTTGGATATGGAAAAGAGAAAATTTGAGTTAGGATATAATGTATTGAGGAATGATATGATTGAGGTGTTAGGTACAATAGATAGGAGAAAAGAGAGAGGTAGAGAGAGACAGAGAATAAAAAAAAGGTACGATATAGAAGAGTTTGGTGAAGAAGATGATGATGATGATGAAGAAGACGAAGATGAAGAGAATGATGATGATGATGATGAAGAAGAAGAAGAAGAAGATTATGAAGTTTGGTTAAATGAGAAGTTAAAAAAATACGAGACTATGTTAGAAGAAGCATTAGCAAGTGAAGAAGAAAGTAGTAGTTTTTTGATGGTATTAATAGATGAGATAGGAGAAAGTAGTAGAAGTTCACAGAGGTGGGAAGAGAGTATGGATGAGGACTATATGCAAGAAGATTAGATTTCATTTTTTTGTTTTGCTGGTTTATATATATATTAATAAATTTTGAATTAAATCCTAAAAATCTTATTAATAATTTATTACAAATACATAATATATTGATTATAAATTTTGCAAAAATAATAAAATATAATATATTTTTATTAAAGAAAAAAAAAACTACAAAACATATTACAAGAGACACTACAAAAACACCTTAGAGACATCACACAAATACCACATAAATACCATAAAGATACTACTACACAAACAATAAAAACACCACTACACACCACACAAACACTATAGAGATATCACACATACACTATAAAGACACTATAGAGACACCACACAAACATCATAGAGACACCCTGCAATTGCTATAGAGATACCATACAAGTGCCATAGAGATACTATACAAAGAAAAAGTTCTAATAAGCAAAAAAAAGCTCCAAACAAAAGAAAATTAAAATTTAAAGCCTAATACATACCAAAAAAGAAACAGCAATACTAACAACAGAAAGAATTCTACCTAGCAGACTGAACGAAAAAAGCGCTATAAAAGAGATTACACCAAATTAAATAATACTAACAATGAAAGAAATACTATGAAAGGAAGTATACCAAGAAAAAAATACCAGAAAGGATGACTCCAACAGCTTCATTAACGAAAAACCTACAAAACAAATCCTCTGAAACCCCTAAAACGAAACTTTAGTACAAAGGGTTAGGGTCCCATAACCTAGTGATCTAGGCGTCTAATCCTCCACAGACAAGATCAACGGTTCAATTATAGCTGGTGGTAATTAATTTAATTAATTATCTCTGTAACCTATGAGAGCTTTTGAATGCGAAACCCTGTGACGATAAGACCATGTGAAGTACTTATTTGGCCTATAAAGAATTCTTGGAAGGAGTCCCGA